CACGCCCACTTCCGCTCGCGCTCCCAGCAGCGAGAACTGAACATGTTTCCCCTCGTCTGCTGGGAGGAAGCAGCAGACGACGCCGAGGGGAACCACCGCGTCCCGGGCCCTGCACCGCGCCTCGAATTTCCACTTTTCTTTCTTTTAAATATTTCCAAACGATATCATCATTTTTCATATCAATACGATTCAAGTTAATTGTCTATTGGAAATATCCAATTCTGTTCAAAGGAGTGCGAGCGATCTCTCATACGGTAAGGAAAAACGGAACGAAAATATCTTGCAACTCAGCCGAACACGGGCTCTCGGGTCGATATATGAAACCTGTGAATAAGATCGTCAGACTCTGTTAGTGTAGCAAGCTTACACAGAGCGCTTTTAATTCTTCATCGGCGGCGAATACAAGGGGCTTCTATTAAATACGGAGGGCTGCCACAGATCGCATAATGACATTCTGCGAAGAAGTAAGAAGGTCGGCATCGAGAGAACATATCCTTCGTCGAGTTTATGGTAAGGATATATACTGACTTGACATTATCTATATTTACATAGTGTGACACATAAAAAGGCACGTAATCACAAAATACGAAACAAATAAATATAGCACAAAAAGGGTTTTACTGAGTATTTAGTGTTCATGCCAGAGCCTATGCTACGAGGATCAACAAACGCTCATGACTATATTGTAGGGGTGTTGCCCAATTAGCACGACCATCCTTATTAACACAACATACTTGCACATCCCACGCTTAAAAACACCAAACCAACAAAAATCCAACGAACCAAAGACACCACCCCAACCACCAAATTTCCGAAAAATCAATCCAGAATCACGCAATCAAATTAAACTAACAAGAACCGTCTCTTTTATCTACAGCAATAAGAAGACTAATCCCACAGGCAAAGCAACACAACGCGAGGGTTCAGCAGCTAACTATCTCAAGTAAGCAGTGAGTCACGGGCGCCCATGCGTGCTGATGACTCGAGGCTGTGTCTTAACTGTGTGTGTGTGTGTGTGTGTGTGTGTGGTGTGTGTGTGTGTGTGTGTGTGTGTGTGTGTGTGTGTGTGTGTGGTGTGTGTGTGTGTGTGTGTGTGTGTGTGTGTGTGTGTGTGTGTGTGTGTGTGTGTGTGTGTGTGTGTGTGTGTGTGTGTGTGTGTGTGTGTGTGTGTGTGTGTGTGTGTGTGTGTGTAAGGGTGTGTGTGTGTGTGGGTGTGAGTGTGTGTGGTGTGTGTGTGTGTGTGTGTGTGTGTGTGTGTGTGTGTGTGTGCGTGTGCTGTGTGTGTGTGTTTTGTAAGGTGTGTGTGTTGTGTGTTTGCAAGGGTGTGTGAGTGTGTGTGTGTTGGTGTGTGTGTGGGTGTGTGTGTGTGTAAGGGTGTGTGAGTGTGTGTGTGTAAGGGTGTGTGAGTGGTGTTGTGTGTGTTGTGTGTGTAAGGGTGTGAGTGTGTGTGTGTGTAAGGGTGTGAGTGTGTGTGTAAGTGTGTGGTTGTGTGTGTAAGGTGTGTGTGTGTGTATTTGTAAGGGTGTGTGTGTGTGTGTTTGTAAGGGTGTGTGTGTGTGTTGTGTGTGTGTGTGTGTAAGAGTGTGTGTGTGTGTGTGTGTAAGTGTGTTTGTGTGTGTGTGTGTAAGTGTGTTGTGTGTGTGTGTGTGTGTGTGTTGTGGTGTGTGTGTGTGTGTGTGTGTGTGTGTGAGAGAGAGAGAGAGAGAGAGAGTGTTGTGTGTGTGTGTGTGTGTGTGTGTGTGTGTGTGTGTGTGTGTGTGTGTGTGTGTGTGGTGTGTGAGTGAGTGAGTGAGTGAGTGTGAGTGAGTGTGAGTGAGTGAGTGAGTGAGTGAGTGTGGTGTGTGTGCGCATTTGTGTGTGTGCGTGTGTGTGTGAGTGTGTGTGTGCATGCGTGCGAGTGTGTGCGTGCATGCGTGTATGCATTTATGTTGGTGTGGGTGTGTGGGTGTGTGCAAGAGAGAGAGTGCATGTATGTATGTGTGTGCCTGTCTATATGAATCTTTAAGTGGATTTGTATTTTGTGTATATGAGTCTGAGTGAATATTGTGTGTGACTGACAAGTGACACTGGCTCCACACACTGAATAGGGATTAGTTTTTCACAGGTCACACTATGACTCACAAAATGTATGCAGGTTTGACCAGTATTGATGAGGATTTTTAAAAAATAATGTGCCTTATCATCAAAAATACATACTCAGCGGATTAGTTTTCCCCATACACAGTTGTGTCAAACATTGTAAATACATTTCCCTTTTCTCATAGATATTAATTTTCCTTATTTAAAAATAACATCATCATTGCATCCTAACCATGAAATTGATTAATATTATCAGTGTAAAGATAAATCCTCACTCTTCTTTAATGATCCCTGTGCTTTGTCAAATACCTTCTTAAATATCCAATAATAATGGGCAAGTAAACAAATGAATGTTGATAAAGAGTAAAAATACGCACCCAAAATAAATAGAGCCAATTGTGTCAACCGAGTTAGTCATCTGGTGACCTCAACCTCATCTTGATTAGGTTTTCTTATTTGTGGCTTTCTAATTTCCAACTTCTTATTAATAAATACACCTATATACATTTGCCTGCATGTAGGGGGTTTTCTGTAGGTTGTGGGTGTGGCTATAGCTATAGTTATAGCTGTAGCTGTGGAATGTTATCCAGTCATGAATGTATTTGCATGTGTTGTGAGATTCTGTATATAAACAGATAAATCTTATTTGCCCCATTAGATGCAATAAAATAAATAAAAAATAAACCAACAGGCATTTCCTTTCTTCTTGGAAGACCTCTGACTTCACATAGGCAATATATGTGTCTACACTTTGTAACTCTCTTTGTCATGTTTGTAAATGCACTCTGCAAAGCTCACAATAAATTTTCATACATTTAGGCCATTTTAGTAAAAAGAATTATTTACAGTGCATTAGCCTTTATTAATGAGTAAATTTCTGTTTCTTTTCCTAGAATAAAATTTCCAAGAAACAAACTTCTAAAACATTTGATATTATTTTTATAGATATTTATCCATACAATTAGCACTAAACTATTTAATCTTGTACTTTGTAAAATTAGCATACCCTAAATCTGGGATTTTAATCTCCTGACACCAACACCAGTAACACTATATCTGGAGTGCAGTGTTAGTCTAAACCTGTATGAAAGTTATCTTCTTTACTTAACATTGTAAATGAAATTCCATGCTTTTTAAAGGTGTTTCTGCTTTAGTTAAATACTTTTTCAATTTAGATATTAATGAAGGGCCTGCTATTGTGACACTCATACAATGATTATAATAAAAAAAAAAAAAAATTAAAGCATATTTAAACATTGATAATATGAAAGGATTACACTGTAATACTGACAGATTGACATGTAACTATCATAATTGTTGCCGTATATTAATAAATCTGTTTACCAATCTGACCTATAAATTTGAACAAAACCATTTATTTTCCATGGATAATCTACACATTTCTTAAAATAAAAAAAATTACAGCATTTATGCACTAGATATCTGCTCTCCCATTTAACTAAATACATTATTCATTAGACAGGAACAGAATCATCTCTTGGTATTTGCCTTACCCTAGTCTCATTTCTCCTAATTTTGAGAAACTAACACTACTTCAATAAAATCATACCGGGAAAGGATTGATACACACCAATTTTCAGGCTTTGATTTATATCTTTACACCAAACTTCCTAAGATCAAGTACATATTTTTGGTTTAGCCTACTATTAGTATTAATATCTGCCTATAATCTTAAAGATCATAATGCAGCAGGTTGTATGTCATAGTTCCCCAGACTATAGCAATTGTTGAGTTCCAATAATCAGGTTTATTACCCATAATTAGGTATGCTAGGTTAGGATAGATTCTGAGGTTCAAACGGCACAAATTATCAACTGCTTTACAAGGTACTGACTATTACAAGAGAGAAGACTTAGGTGAAGGAAGTTCTGCTTTGTTCAGAAGTGTACTCATTTACAGCATATTTCTTAAAGTTTGTGATTTTGATTTCTCTTTGGTAAAAAAAAATGCGGAAACACCAATACCGGCCACTAGACCAATGCTAATCGGCATTCCAGCAAAGGCCAAAACCCATCAACATACATAGTACAGGCAACCTAGAGCTTGTAGACCATAGCATTTTATCCTTCAATAAGGAACTAGACTAAGCTTTATTTTGCCAAAATGTATGGAATGGAGATTTTGTGGTCTCTTGTTGGAATGCAATTTGTTAGCCATTTCTCAGTGATCACAGAAAATTTTAAGAGTATTTCAATAGATTATCTACCATATATAATTATATGAAATATTCTCACTATGAAAACTATTTTCTGCATCTTTCCACACAAATACCTT